TTTTTTTTTTGGTACAAATATTTTATGTGTATTATTCACTATGTACTGCCTTTTTTGGTTCAATAAAATGGCTGTCAATTGTGTTACCAATTACTCAAATAATAAGTGTTACATGTAGTGTGGTGTAATTAAAGTGATACTTAATTTATGTTACCCAAAAAACCAAGATAAAAGTGTTACTTAAAGAGCATTACCTTTTCAAAATGTTACATACAAATGTTACATATTCGGATAATGCTACAATACTGCTACAAAAATACTATAATATATAAAGTGTTACAAACATATGTTTCATAAAGTCTACTATAAAAAATATGTTACAAATTAGTGTTACTTAAAGTCATTTATTTTGTAGTGTATGCTGGCGACCATAAAAAATTCTTTCTTCATGTCACCTTGTGCCACCTGGTTGCCCCAGGGGTTCAATTCCCTGTGGAAGTTTTTACTCTCTCTGGAATTTACAGATGTTGATAATAGCTAGTTTGGCCGATGGAAGATTGGTGTTGAACATCTGGCGGATGCCCCAACTCAGGCACGTCAAGGTATACAACGGGTAGGCTTGTAAACAAATCAAATTTTTTTTTATTCGATTCGATATTCAAATTCGAATTCGAATACGAATAATGTTTAGATTCGAAAGTTAATTGAATTCGAATTCGAATTTGTAGATATTCGATTTCGAAATTTGAATATTCGATTCGTTAACAATAATCAAATAAATTTTACAAATTATATATATTATACATTTTGTTTATAATATATACTAGTACAACGTCGTGTATTACACGGGTGCTTGCTAATTTTTTCTTAAAATCTAATATTAATAAAAAAAATAGTTGAAAATTTAAATACCTTTTATAAAAATATATATTATTATATATTTAGTATGACACTTTTTATTTGTGCGACTTACTTGTGTTATATTATAATAATTTTTTTAACTTACAACATATAACCACATTAAACATAAATATATCAATTGAGAAATAATTTTATTTTTCTAATGAATTTTAATAAATATTATTAATTTTTATTATTATACAGATAAATATAATTCATTTATTTCATATATACAATATGAATTCAAATCAAAGATCATCAAAAGATGATTAATTTGATATATTATATATGTAAAACCGATAAGAAATATAAAAGTTATCAACTTTTAAAATAAATAAATCAAAAGTTAGGAATTTTAGTCACTTAGTTCCTCACTATGTAAAATTACAAAGAAATAAAGGGTTATAATAGTACAAGTGATCGAATACGAATAAAAAAATTGGTTCGTTAACGTGCCTGAGTTGGGGCATCCGCCAGATGTCCAGCACCAATCTTCCATCGGCCAAACTAGCTATTATCAACATCTGTAAATTCCAGAGAGAGTAAAAACTTCCACAGGGCATTGAATCCCTGGGGCAACCAGGTGGCACAAGGTGTCAGGAAGAAAGAATTTTTTATGGTCGCCAGCATAATATGAATCGTATATATCCATTTAGAATCTTTAGCAGTCTAAAAGAAACTAGAGACGGTAAACTTCCATTAACGTTCCATATCAGAGTTTGCGTTCGTGATGCGGATTGCACAGCTTCAGGGAGTGGTCGGGGAATGTATCTCCCGGCTTGGTGAATGCCAATACGGCATTGGGCACGCCAATTTGGTCGTG